AAGTGTGAGGCCCGAATTAAACATAGTACTCCAGGTAAGGCCTCACCTGTGCTGAGTAGAGCAGTAGAATCACTTCCTTTGATTTGTGTGACATTCCTGTTAATACAACCCAGTACACTTGGTCTTTTTTGCATCAAGAGCACACCGTTGGCTCATATTCAGCTCATGGTCTACTGCAACCCCCAGGTCCTTCTCTGCAGTACTGCAGTCTAGGCAATCATTCTCCAGTCTGTATTTGTGCATTCAGTTATTCTATTGGAAGTGCAGGACTTTGCACTTGTACCAGTTGAATTTCATCTGGTTCATTTCTTCAGTTTATCCAGGTCATTATGGAACCTAACCTAGCCCTACCCTCCACAGTATCTGCAGCTCCACTCAACTTTGTGTCATCTGCAAATTTGTTAAGTGTGCACTTGATACCATCATCCAAGTCATTAATGAGGATGTTGAACAGTTTTGGACCCAGGACAGACCCCTGGTGAGCCCCACTTGATACTTTCTTCCAACTGGACACTGGGCCATTGATGACTACTCATTAAAGAGAATGATCCAACCTGTGTGTATCCACCTTACAATGCTTCTGTCTCATCTGTATTTCCTTAGCTTGTTAATAAAAATGTTGAGCGAGATGGTGTCAGAAGCTTTGCTAGCACCAAGGTATATCAACATCCACTGCTTTTTCCCCCATCCACAGAGTCTGTCACATCATAAATGGAAATCAGGATGATCAGACATGACTTACTCTTGATGAATCCATGCTGGCTGTTCCTGATCACCTTGTTCTCATTAGGTGTTTCGAAGTGAATTCCTTGAGGACCAGCTCCATTATCTTTCTAGGTTTAGAGGTCAGGCTGACTGGTCTGTAGTTCCTCAATCTTTCTTCTTCCCTTTCTTAAAGATGAGCACTATATTTGCCCTTTTTCACTCATCCAGGACCTCACCTGACCTCCATGAGTCCTCAAAGAGGATAGATAATGGCTCTGAAATTGCCTCAACCAATTCCTTCAGTACCCTAAGGTGCATCCCACCTGATCCTGTTGACTTAGAAGCATCAAGCTTCTTTAAGTAATCCCTAACATGTTTTTCCACTTTTCTCTTTGATGTTTGTCTCCTTTCCTATCTTTGCTCAACTGGGGTCATCACATGGTAGCTGTTCCTATTTGTGAAGATGGAAATAAAAAAGGTATTAAATACTTCAGCCGCCTCTGCATCATCCATAACAAGACGGCCTTCTGCATTTTGTAAGGGACCTGTAGTTCTTTGGTCATCCTCTTACTTTTGACATATTTGTAGAATCCCCTCCCTTATTTCTTTTTAACTTTTATGCTCCCTTAAAAAGCAGATTAGATTTGCACTTTATGGACTAATCACAGTAGATATAGCACAAGCTTTCATAAACTGAAATTCACTTCCTCAAATGCTGCGAAGGGATGTACACAAAGCAGTATATAAGCAGGAGCGCAGTTTGAATACAGAAGCACAAAGCAGGAACAGAGAAGGGGGAGGGTGGTGCTGGGAGAGAACATGTAAGCCAGGGGTGTCCAACCTTTTTGAATGTGGGGCTGGATCACGAACTTTTTATCACCCAGTGGGCTGGGGAGCCGTAGTCAAAGACGTCACAGGAAGTGGTCTCATATCAGGAAGTGATGTCACGTGACCTTTGACACCAGTGAAGTTGTAGGGGTTGACATGGTGCTGGTTGACATGGTGCTGCAGGAGCCGCTTGGCTACAACAGGGTTGACCTGGTGCTGGAGAAGCTGCGGGGCCAGGCCTGGGTTAACCTGGGGCCCGCCTGGCCTGGCAGTGCCATGCCCGGGTTGACATGGTGCTGCAGGACCCACCTGGGCAGAACAGCATTGGCACCGGCCAGGAAAAGCAGCATGCAGCTGAAGCTGGCTTCCCATGTGCTGCTGGGGACGGGAGGAGGCCGGCCAGGTCTGCACCGGCCGGCAGAAGCGGCGGTGGAGCCATGTGCCGCTCGGGACTGACTGGTGCAGGCTTGTCCCATCCCGAGTGGCCGCCACTTCTGCTGGCTGGTGTAGACCCAGCCGGGCTTCTCCCGCCCCAGCAGCACATGAGAAGCGACCCCCTCAGGGCCTTGCGTGCAGGCGGCCAGGCCTGGAGAGCCGCAGCACCCGGGGGGGAGACTGGCCGGGGGAGCGAGCGGGTGCCACCTTGCTGTCTGGGCAGAGCAGCAGGGCTGGCTTCAAGCGGGCAGGCGAGGGCTGGCAGCTCCCCTCCCCTCGCTGCCTGCCTTGCCGCGGCCCCGCCGCCGCCTCCCTTCACTCCGCGACTGCGGCCCCGCGTCACCGCTGCCCCACCGCTGCTGCGGCTCCCTGCTCCGTGGCGGCGGCGCTGCTGTGGGCCAGATAAAATGGCTCAGCGGGCTGCATGGCGGCCTGCGGGCTGTATGTTGGACAAGCCTGATGTAGGTAGTACAGGCAGTCCTCAACTTAACGTTTCGAGTTACAATGTTTCACACTTAAAATGTCAATTGACACCCTGTTTCAACTTTCTGACATCAGTTTCAACTTTACAACACTTGATCTGACGCCAAGCCACGCTAGCAAACAAGTTTACTGCATCACCCATTTCCCTGGAGAACATCTGTCCAAACTTCCTTGAATGCTTTCTTTAAGAAAGAAGACAAGACTCCAGAAAGCCTGCAGCCAAGACTCCTAGGAAGACTCCAGCCAAGAACCCTTCAAAACATCCAGCAAAGTCTCCTCAAAGAAGTCCTTCCAAATCAACATGATTGCTCTTTACAATATAAATACATTAATGTAGCTATATTACTCATCTATAATTGATCGAGTACGAAATTCTGGGTTATTTTTGGTGAAAATAGGGGATTGGGCCTTGGTTCAGTAACCAGTTCCCCATTTATAACATTATTTCCTATGGGAAAATCGGTTCCAAGTTGCAACATTTTGAATTAAGATGTGGTTTTCAGGAACCAGTTGTGTTGTAAGTCTGAGGACTGCCTCTACGCATATGAACAAAAGGAGTCGCTAAAGCTAGTCCAGGTAATGAGATGCCTTGGTGAGACTGGGATTTAGTCAGCCTGTTGCTTGAGAGATGCTGTTTGAGGTTGAGGGGCTGTCTGCAAATCAGGACAGGTTTGTTGCCCGTCACTGTCTTGAGATTAGTTATCCTTTTCCAGGAGGGGTTGGAGGTCAATGCTTCTCAGGTTCAAGCCGTGTTTATGTCCCTTGCCAGTTGCATTTCAAATCATGCCTTGGCCTTCCTGATTTTCTCCATGCATGCCCATGCAACAGTCTTCCCTAGTAACATGGCCAAGTTTCCACTTTTTATAGGTTTCCTTTTTGAGTTTCAACTCAGCCACATTGGTCTCCTGTTGCACTTTCATTCTTCCATTGAATTGGGATAGCCTGCTCCTGCACCTTTAAAAGGACATCCCTAAAGTGCAGGCAGCAATCCTGGACTCCTCTTCCAATCAGAGTTGCTTCCCAGGGGATCCTGCTTGCCAGTTCCCTAAGTTTGCTATAATTGGATTTTTTTGAAGTCCAATTCCTTTATTATTCTGCTGTCTTTCCTTCCATTCTCTCCTGATGTGGGGGATCAGCATCTGTAATATTGACACTTTTTGTCTTCCAGACAAATATTTCTGCAAATTTCTTGCATTGGTATTGTTCCCTCTTTTCTCTCATGCCCTACTTTTTCTACATGTCACTATACCAGAAACAAGGCACCCAAAAAAGGGTCAGAGGAGATAACGTTTACTGTTGTAATTTGTAAGATTTGTATTAAAACTGTGATTTGGTTTGCAACAGTAATCATTTCAGCAGAGGCAGGATGAAAGATTAGATTAGAAGTACAGAAAAATTAAATGGACTTGGTAATTTTGGGGAGTAAGAGGACTTCTTCCCATTCAGAACAGTCTTTGCTGTTTATGGCAGTGAAAGTCTCGACCTGCCTTTGATGTGTGCTACTAATTTTCCATTTATGTGGGGTTGAAAAAGCACTTTCCCTAGGTTGTAGATAAGTTTCTGCTCCTTCCCCTCTCTTATATTTCTGTCTTTTTCCTGCACTTAGATTTTTTTAGTAGTGTGTAATTGCTCCTATTCTCTTTTCTTTCTTTTATATCTGAAGATTTTGGTGATTTGAAGCAGAAGGAGCTTATTACTTTTTAGTCGTTGTTTACTTTCGGTGATGTTACTGCTGTTGCAGCCTATCCACCTACTACTTTTTACTGTCACCAATATACCAAATCTCAAATGCATCCAAGCCCATTTAATTTAAGCAATTACTGTTTCTAGTTTTTGGTCTCTAGGTCACACAGCCTAGGTTCAGACCAGGATACTGAACTCTTCTTTTAGACATGGGACTCTATTTATGCTGCCCTAGGCTTCAAAACTAGTGCTTCAGACCTGCTGAGTCCACCCAACTGATCATGTATATTCCCTAGAGTTCCACTTACCTGTGAGCACTGGCTTTTAGTTAGCCTCTTTAGGGACAATGTGGTACAAAAGCAAAGAGCACAAGCTTAGCAAAGTCACTTTTAGCATACTCATTTTACTTAGAAGAAAGCACTAGAGAATTACAGGTCAGTGCATTCCTTTTTAGTCTTATTTGTTCTTTGAGACGGAGATCTATTAGCATTTAAGACGGGCAGAATCCTTTCTGCCCTCTTTCCTTCCTGTATACAGTTTTCCTGATCACCTGCTATAAGATCCTAAGAGCACTGAATAATAAAATGGTAATTGTGGGGAGTAAGAGGAGAACTTCCCATCTAGCTCTTCCTAAATACAGTTTCTCTACTTTGTCATATGATTGATTGGAAAGCTGTCTCTTTCCTGCTGTAAGTAGAGTGCAGAAGATCCATGGCTTTCTCTGAGATTGGACCAACAACCTAGAGAAAACATTGCCTGAGATTGCTCTGGGATGGCTTCTCTGTGATGTCTTGAATCATATGTTAAGCAGCTTTCTTGAGTAGCATTGCTATCCAGGCAAAACTAGATGTGTGTTCATATTCATTCCATGCAGTGGAATATCAATGACAGTTTTATACAGTTATATTCTGTGCTGTCATAATCGCTACATTTTCTTTAGGTTGCATCTTTCTCATGGCTCTTGTTTGTATCAAGAGAAAGAAGGGGCCATGACTACAGAAATGCTTTTATCTATGAGGCCAGTTACCTTTAACCATGATCAAAACGGGAAAAAAAATCAGTGGTATTCCTCCAAGCTTTGTTTTTATGATAACCTTTTAGTCTGCACTATATAATGTATAGATACACAACCTCACTGTAAATGAGTTAGATTGAGTACAAAAGGCAATCTAGCCATGGTGTATAGCACACCATATGACTCATGTACCCTGCCAAGAAGATTTGTACATTGGTTGATCCAAGGCTCCCTTCCTTTCCAGCCAAGCAAGATAAGCTCTAAGAAGAGGGATGCATGTATTCTGTCTCTTTC